TGGTCACGTGATATTAGTCATACGGAGCGGATCGGGCCGACACGGGAAGGGAAACAGTGCACGTGATGTATATAAATAGACGCAGATGGATAAGATAAGATGAAGACAAGCACCGGAGACAATAACACAAAAAGGCATAGATATAGATACGGATATAGACAGAGACATACATAGGGGGCGACAGAGCTAGACGTGATACTTTGATAGGCGAGAGGATAGTTTAGACAAGGTGGGTGGGCACCTCATATTGACAAGGCTTCGAGCGGAAGGCTGACTGTTTCGACGCACGCTTGGCTTATGCCTTACGACCTAACTAACCATGCAACCTCTACACACTTGCACACATACTTAGCACGGAGTTTACTACAGGGGGGTAAAAAGATAAGCTTACAAATATTAGGCGTTAACATGGTACCGCCGTTCCTGAGATCTGATATTATTTGCTCCTCCGCGTTTTGCGCTGGACTTTTCCAAAGGAAGGACAGAACACCGAGACCTATATTGCTTACTTATGCTGTACTACTTCTCCGCACACTAGTGAGCAACGCATGTTCCATAGCATGCAGTGCTGGTATAGATCTGGCGACCAGGCTGCTGGTACCAGACGGCCACTCATCGTCTCCTTTTCTCCGCGGGGTACATACTACTAAACAAAGGAGTACCACATACCAACCACGTACCACAACCCCACATATTACAGAGCAAGTACACAGTTACAAGAATATGCAGATGATGTGGATGCATGAAGAAGCACGACAGGTTTACTGTCCCTTCAATGCCTCATTTTGGACGATTTCAACCCAGTAGCCATCCGGGTCTAGCAAAAAGGCGATATTGTGCATCCTCCCATCTGTGAGACGCTTCTTCCACGTCACCCCCAGCTCTTCAAACCGGGCACACGCGGCATCGAGGTTGTCCATCACCATACCTGATCATGTTAGACTCCACAAAACCATAGTCAGTCAGCGTGTGGGGACCAAAAAGGGGACGTACAGATGTGGCCGAATCCTTGGGGCTCGCTATTACCGTCGTGGTACACCTTGCCCTCCTGTTTCTCCGTGCCATAGTTCCACGTCAACTCAAGTAGTCCCTCCCAGTTGGCAATTGGGTTACGAGCCTCCTTCTCCATCGGCGGGTTCGAAGCGGGATACCCCAAGAAATACAGATTAAACCCCGCCTCAGGAGCCTCAGATGTTCTTAGCAGCGTCATACCCATGACCTCCTGGTAGAACTTGAGGGAGGCGTCCTTATCCTTGACCCGCAGCATGGTATGGTTCAGACGGTACGACTGGGGGTCCGACTCGGTCACGGCTTCATCTACATCCCCGCGACGGATGAGTTCAACCCAGTACCCATCTGGGTCCTTGACAAATGCGATATGCTTCATCCGGCCGTCAGTTAGTTTCTTTTGGAACGGATATCCGGCGTCCTCAAGTCTCTTGCATGCTAGCTCGATATTCTCCACCGAGACAGCAATGTGGCCGAACCCGCGATATGGTTCCGTGTTGCCGTTCACAACAGAGAAGTTATCATCATTTTCTGTGCCGTAGTTGTGAGTCAGTTCGAGGACTCCGTTCCTATCGGTCCAGTGCTTGCCGGTGTTCAGCGCCTTGGGGCTATCGTATGCGAGGAAGTAGAGCGAGAATTTGGCATCCTCAAAGTCGAGTCGGTTGATTTGGGTGAGGCCAAGGAAACTGTAGAATTCGACTAGTTATTCTCGTTAATTATCGTCACTGGTTTCTTGTAAACATTTAGTAGACTTACGAGATCTCTTCGGGTCTTTCACCCGAAGCATCGTATCTGCAGACAGTAAGCAGCTTTACAGCACTGGCCAAAGATGTCGTTCACCTACGATGAAACTTATACTTCGATGGGTCTGTCATCTTGACTGTTGCTTCTATCTGGTGGTGCTAGAGTGATCCTGTCGGTCATCATTAGCATTAACTGGCCAAGGGCAGAGGGAGATAGCAAGCAGTGAGCCAACCTTCAAGATCGAGCTGCCTTAGGTCTTTGTCAATGGCGCTAGAGACGAAGCTGCAGACAGCAAAGAGGTAATTAACCATCAGTGATTGAATACTCGGCGAGTGGAGTTCAACCTGAAGCGGGAGAGAAAGTGATTATAAATCTATGATGCAACATTGGTGAGGGGCTTCGCTTTTTCGTCCGAAGTTTGGCCCAGACAGGCTCGAAGATCTAGATCAAGGTGTAGATATCAGATACAGATATAGACGCAGTTGAAGATGACGATTGAGAACAAGACAGAAGAAGAGATAGCTTGTTGTTTGCGTAAGTGTAATAGTCATTTAGGTCTAATAGCGGTTCTTTAATACACGCTGTGCCATATTTACTCGTACAAGTCAACGCACACAGCCAGCGTAGAGCTAGCCAAAAACAACCTGATGGACATGTCATTAAACAGGCGGTATGCTATTCTCATGATCGTTTCTTGGGTTTCAAGGATCAGGAATAGCCCAGTGATGCTCAGAGCTTAAGTCGGTTCAATCGTTACCGGTTGATCCCGAGAATTAATATATCGGCATAGGCCAGAGGGAGTTAAAAGGAACAGAGAGAGAATATGAATGAGCTAACCATGAGCATTGTAAAATGTATGGTGCTACTATTGCGTCTTCTGACCTCCGTGGAAGATCCGGCCTCTTTGAGTTCACCAGCCGGGGTACCAAATTGATAGTCCCGAGAGGTGATAACCATCAGAATTGGTACTGATATATCAACTGGTAGTTGGTGGTGAAAGGCCCATTTGGGTGTAGACCGATTTGAGGGCCAGTGATGCTGCGAAAAGGCAGCCTGTAATGTTGTCAATAGTTTCGGTCTCGGTATTGACAGCTTAGGATGAAGGAATACGGACGTTTTTCATTGTCCATAGTTCACTTAACGAGTCGTCGTTTTTTCCGTTCCATGTCTTCCTTCATGATCCTTTCTATCTCGGTCATTTTCTTAGGCGGTTCCGGGGTTGCTTTAATTCCGGATGGTTGTTTTCGCTTCATACCAAAGACGTTGGGTTTCTTGACAGGTTTATCAGCAGACTTTGGTGGATGATCCTGCTGTTCGTTGTTCTTCCCTTGGCTTGTTGATATTGTTGGCTTGGGCGAGTTGCTGGACGATTTCAAGTTAAGGCTAAAGTCCGTCCACTTCTCCTTGGCGAGTTCTGCGGGTTTCTCGGGCTCAGTGGAAACGGCCTTGCTCTGCCGGGCTCTTTCGACCTGCTGTAGTATTTCCTTCTCCTCTGATGCCTGCTGCTCCTCAAGACGGTTTGCTCGCTGCACTAGATCTCGTCGACGAATAGCTTCGGGGCTGTTGTCAATCCACTGCACGAATATCCCGTCTTCCTTCTCTTCCACTCGACATATTCCTTCCCTCGCAAGGTATTTGGAAAATTCCGTTAGGCTCGACCATTTAGTGCTGTTAAGATGCACATGCGTCTTGTCCGAAATGTACTCCTGGTAGAAACGGTTCAGGTGGATCGGCTTCTCGCCATGTGACGTTCGAAGTAACTGTAGGAAGTCATGTTGAAACTCCTTGCTGTATCCTTCGATGAACTTTTTTGGATTCTCCGCGACTATCTGCATCGCCCGGACGTGGCTCTCACTCAGCGTATGTTGTTTGAAGCCGTTCTCATCGCGTGTCTGTTTCTGGCACACCTCACACCACCACCGCAGCCGCTGGAGTCCTTTCTATATCACATCAGTTAGTTATAAGCTAGCCGGAATAGCATGTATCAAGGGAGATGTCATCTTACTAGCTTCTTCTGCGGCCGCCCACCATGCTTGCCTCCTTCTGGTGCCATTTCAGCCTTCTATCCTGAGCGTCGACTGTACTGTTCTGGGGCTGCAATTCTATCAGAAATTACCTGCCACTGACAAACAAGATGTGTTGCTATTTGCATATACTCTCACACTGAGGGCTGTGGTAAGAATACCATGTCATCGCCCTCTATTTAAAATGAGTTGTATTTTAATCTGTATAGGGCATTTCTTTTTACCAAAAGATTGCCTTCAGGCCTGGGATTCTAGCTCGAGAGCGACTTCACGTGACTGCATCTTCGGAACGCGGTATAAAATTAATCCTTTAGTTATTTCACGTGATGCTATTTTAATTCGGGAACGCCAAAGATGAGGATATGAGATCCAGGACAGAAAGGACAGAAAGGTCAGAAAGGTCAGAAAAGAAGATAGTTAAAGAAGAAAAGAAGCGAATTGAAGACACAGGATGCAATGACTTGCCCTGAAATTACCTGGCTACCTACGTGTTTGGCCTTTTCTACTCGTATAATGCAGCGCAATGCCTGAATTTTGAGTCCGACTAAACTAATAGAAAGAGCTGCTAACATCCCAGTTCCTAGACATCGAGTCGGCATGCCAACAAAAAGATCTAGAGCGACAATATTAGACTGGACTAACAAGTCATTCTAGGAGATAGACCCGGTGGCTGACACCCTCATATCCTGCTGACCAGCTGTCGTGGAAGACCCTACAACAGGAGACGTTGCGCTAGAGGGTGGTATCTCCTGGTATCTGGCAGAGTTGACAAGCATATTACCCTGCCCATGTTCATGTTACTCTGCCTACAGCCAACAGACCAAAGTGACATCCTGGAGTACCACAGGTCGCCTGCATGATATGTTTGTTGCAGTAGTCGAAGATTTGTGTGACCCGACCTGGCTACCAAGAAATATCCAGGTTGACCGCCAGTCGAAAAGGCATCCTCGAATCTCTCTTCTGTTCCTATTCTCCTGTATGGAATCATTGTGATCAGAAATGCGGTTTGTATTCCGGCTTGCTGCCATTCCATCGCTTTTGCTGACTCTAGGGGTCTCTGCTCTTTCACCTTTACGTCCCCTCGTATCCACCGCTGGCCAGCATGAAGTTATCCCGGGGTGGTATCTACAGTCTGAACGTCATGTTTCAAGCAGCATCTTCAGTCTCTCATTTCCCGGCGCTGACGTCTCTTCGTGGTACCGAATGGGCCCGCGGGGTACTGTAATGGCCGGTCTACTTGAAAACGGTGTTTACAACGAGACGCACCTCTTTTTTTCAGACAACTTCAAGTCTCTGCCTGACGCCGACTTTCGTGATGTTTCCTGGCTGTACAGGGAAGAGTTCACGTTACAGCCCGGAAGTGGGCAACATTTCACCTTACACACCCATGGTATATCTTCTAGGGGTGATATATACCTTAACGGCCACCGAGTTGCCTCGAAGGATACCCAGGCTGGTTCTTATGCTGGTTATAAGTACGATGTCACCAAATATGTCCTCAAGGGTGGGAACTGTCTATTGATCAAAGCCTATCCTACCAACTATCTCCGTGACTTGGCTTTGGGCTTCGTTGACTGGAATCCATACCCACCAGACAACGGCACCGGCATTTGGCGTCATGTTGAACTCTCCCAAAGTGGCCCTATCCGACTGTCTAGTCCACGCGTTACCACTGATTTTGTTCCTGGAGTTAAAGTAAATGACACAAATCTGACAGTCAAAACTGATGTCCATAATATCGGCGAAGAAACCATCAAAGGGAGCATCAGGGGTTTCATCGAGGGAGCTCAAAATCCGAGACACTCAATCTCCGCTCCGTTTACCCTCAAGCCGGGCGAGCAGCAAACCATAGAAATGAATACCACCATTCAGAATCCTAGTGTATGGTGGCCCGCTTCGTGGGGCGATCAACCTCTATACACCGCCCGGATATCCGCGTTCGTCGGCAAAATAAAGTCCGATGGGCCAAAGAGACGCAAATTTGGCATCAGGCATATTGAGTCTAGAGTAAACGACCAAGATACTGTAGAATTCAAAGTCAATGGCAAGCCTTTTTTTGTCATGGGTGCAGGATATTCGTCTGATATCTTTTTACGATTCACCGTTGAAAGGATCACAACCATATTTCAATACATCCTAGACATGGGTATGAACACCGTTCGCCTTGAAGGCAAACAAGAACATCCTGAACTTTACGATATCGCAGACAAAATGGGGCTTATGATCATAAGCGGCTGGGAATGCTGCGACCACTGGGAGGGGTGGAAATACAACACGGAAGGATTTGGCCAACCTTGGACAGATGTGGATTACCCAATTGCCAATTCCAGCATGTTACATGAGGCCGGGATGATGCAAACCCATCCTAGCATGCTTGCTTTCCTAATTGGATCTGATTATTGGCCAAATGATCAGGCCACCAATATATATGTTGACGCCCTCAAGCGTATGGACTGGAATGCTGCAATAATCTCCTCAGCAGCAAAGCGAGGTTTCCCCAAGCTTCTTGGGCCCTCTGGTATGAAGATGGACGGTCCATATGACTGGGTACCTCCGTCATATTGGTTTGGTGACAAACTTGGTGCTGCTGGGGCTGGTGGGTTTGGTTCTGAACTTGGGCCTGGTGTAGGTACCCCCGAGATTCGGAGCTTGAAAAAGTTCTTGTCCGAGGAAGATATGAAAGATCTATGGACCAAACCAAATAAGGTTCTCTATCATATGTCTGCTGGTGTGTCTCAGTTCCGTGATCGCTCAATATACAACAAGGCGCTTTACGCTCGATACGGCAAGCCAACGAGCTTGGATGATTATTCCTTGAAAGCTCAGCTAATGGACTATGAGGCAACTCGTAGTGAGTACGAGGCGTATGCCGCATATAAAAGTCATAGCAATCCCACGTCTGGCTTGTAGGTATAACTATCTCTTTTGACCTATAAAATGGCAGTCCGCTGATATACGGTAGAATATACTGGATGTTGAACCCAGCATGGCCAAATCTACACTGGGCCCTGTTCGACTACTACCTGAAACCTATGGCTAGCTACTTTGGAACCAAAACTGGCGCACGCATTGAACATGCCATATATGACTACCGGGAGCAGGCTGTCTACCTGATTAATCATTCTAATTCCCGGAGCGGTGCGCGCAGTGTTACCGTAGATCTAATTAATATCGACGGTAAGTCCTTGAGCCACAGTACTATGAAGGCAGATACTACACCACTCAAGTCTCAGAAACTTTCCAAAGTTTCTGGCTTAGACAAGAACACAGACGTTTCTTTCCTCCGCCTGATTTTGGAAGACGATGCAGGAAAAGCTTTAAGCCGAAACGTGTACTGGCTTCCTCAGAGAGAAGACGTGCTTGACTGGGGCAATTCTACCTGGTACCATACTCCAGTTACCGAGTATGCTGACCTAACGCCACTGGGCAAGCTACACAAGGCAGATGTCCGGGTGGACATTAATATCCAGGGTCGAACAAAAACCAGAGTCTCTCTGCAGAATAAATCCAATCATCCGGCTTTCTTCATACGACTGAGTCTCCTGGACAAGGCGACTGGTGACGAGGTTACGCCTGTGTTTTGGGAAGACAACTATGTGACTTTATGGCCGCACGAGAGGTTAGAGTTGGGCGTTACTTATCCGCAAACATACAGGGTTGAGCTTGAAGTGTCTGGGTATAATGTGGAGAAGAAGATGGTCATGGTCTAGCCTGGGCTTGTATCCAGTTGTATACGTATATATATTATTGCTATCCTATCACTAACCAAATTCATAATGTATCGAACCCTGCTGTACGTTTCATAAGTCATATAATTTCTTCCAACTCTCCGCGCTCTTCGGAGTGATTGTATAAAACTGCCGACATGTAAAAGAAAATGAACATAAAACTACTTCTTCTGCACTCTCTTCCGGGCCTGGAGTATCATCTCAACCACCTTTTCGTGGCCATTTTCGGCGGCGAGCTGCAGAGGGGACGAACTGACTCCATCGGGCTTGAACTCGGCATGGGGATCCGCACCGCTCTCCAGCAGGAGACTGACAATAGCCTCTGCGCCGTTCCTGGCAGCCAGATGCAATGGCATCCAGCCATCCTTGTCTGCCGCACTCACATCTATATCCAACCCGACCAGCATCCTTGCTATCTCCTCATGCTGGTGAAGCGCAGCCATATGCAAAGGCGTCCGGTTCAGGGTCGAAACGACATTTAGATTTGCTCCAAGGCCGATCAGGTATTTGACAATACCAACATAACCCCATCTAGCGGCCAGCAACAAGGGGGTCCAGCCGCTTGAGTTCATTATCTCGATATTGGCTTTCCCCTTTTCGACGAGCAGCCGGGCAGTGGACTCCTTGTTGTGATACGCAGTCATGGCGAGGGGAGTCCAGTCATCGTCTGCTTTGGCATTGACGTCTGAGCCGCTCTCGATGAGAAGCAGGGCTATCTCATCATGCCCTTCCCCTGCGGCGGCGTGCAGGGCCGTGTATCCAGACTCGTTTCTTGCATGGACCGGGGTACCAGAGTTGATTAGGAACCGAGCAATCTCGAGATTATTGTACTTTGCCGCAATATGCAGCGCAGTCCGCTTATCGTAGATGACCGATTTGACGCTGAGAGGCTTCTTGGTGGAAAGAACAAAGCGAAGGACAGGGAAATGGTTCCGTCTGGCAGCGACGTGCAGGGCATTCCAGCCCCCGTCATTGACGGCGTGAGCGTCCGCGCCCCAGTTCAGATAGAACTTCATCAGCTCGAGATGACCGCTCCAAGCGGCCAGGAGGTAAGGGGACCAGGGGACCGCCTTGGGGTCTGACGGGTTGATTTCAGCGCCGGCCTTGAGCAGGATGTCCGATATTCCCTGCAGGTTTTTGGACGCTGCGACTCCGAGGGCTGTCATGCCTTCGTCGTTGACAGCAAGTACATCTGCGCCGGCAATCAGTAGGGCGTTAACAGCCTCTACGGCCTTCTCCTGGTGATGGGACACGACCTTTTGCAGCGGCGTCCAGCCACTTGAGTCTGCACAGCTGACATCCACTCCGGCCTTGATCAACGCCCTCACGACGCTAACATGGTTGTTCTTGACGGCCAGATGCAGGGCCGCCTCGTCGTCTCTCAGTGGTCTGCGGGTCTTGCTCGCGAGTCCTGCTGCTGTCTGGCTGCCTGATGCTGATGCTGTGGTATCAGTGTTGATGGTTTCTACCACCGCTGCTCCCGACCCGCTCGAAGGTGTCTCGACCGTCTCGGAGTACGGGGGAGGAGGAGCAAGGTACGCTCCGGAGGCCTGGGGCGGATAGCTGGGCGGACTGTGCTCGTTGGAGTCCTGCTGAGACCCTTGCTGCTGCTGCTGCTGCTGCTGCTGCTGGGGCACCAGGGAGTGTCTGCTCCGGGCGAAAAAGGCCTTCATGGTTCACCGGGAGCTCGAGATGTCAGCTCCTGTGCATGCTGTTGAGACGAAGTTGCGGCCGTTCGATCTGATGCCTGTCCGCGGTCTTTGGGCAGGCAACGGGCCCCGTATAATAATATCACCTGATAGTTAGGGGGTACTTCGCTCTGTATGCGTTCTTGTATGCGCCTGGAAGTACCTCCAGCCAGCAGCCTTGATAAGTGCACTCAGTGGCTGCGGCAGCTTTGTACGCCCCAGAAGCATGCATGGCCATGATCTCCAGCGTCTTCACCCTCGACTGCTGGCCGTCAATGTCTGTCCAGACCGGTGTCTCTGCTGCACTGCCGGCTATCAAATTGTCATCTCATGCTATCCCGGCTCACTCGCCCGCTCGCAGCCTCGTTTAACTCACCAGCTGGCTAACTATGCAGCCCTGGCCTGTCTGGTCCTCGAGGCTGGCCACCGATACACCCGTCTGTGTCTGCTGTTGTCCCTTCGGCTGCGACTGTGAGAGCAACGAAGTAGTTATCGTCGGCAAAACCGAGACGATCCTCCTCGACGTCGAAATAGTTAGCCGTGAATAGTTAAAAAAGAACCTCGGCTCTCCGCCCGGCGCTTCGAGATCAGCCTCCACGACGCCGCAACGCAACAGCCATATAAACATCCAGACTCTCTTTCGCTCTCACTGGCCGACCCGTCGAGACGCACTGAACGATTGCAGCCAGGATGGTCCTCCCGGCAGTCAGAGTCGCCCCCTCGGCGGCCACCAGGGCGTTCAACCTGCTCCGGACCGTGCAGTACACCCATCCGCCGAGCTGTCCATGCCACTCGAACCCGTCCCACCACCACCATCACCACCGCCAGCAGCCCAGCCAGATCTCTGCGGTGGCTAGACATGTCCGGAACTTCGCCTCGCCCGTCGATGCCTCGCAGCAGAAGGAGTATGCGTTCGAGATGGCCGCCTCCAGCATCCGGTTTGGCCCCGGAGCCACGAAGGAGGTCGGCATGGACTGCAAGAACCTGGGTGCGAAGCGAGTCTGCGTCGTCACGGACAAGAACGTGGCCAAGCTGGATGCTATGAAACAGGCTGTCGAGGGCCTCAGCAGGGAGGGCATCGAGTTCACGGTCTACGATCAAGTCCGGGTTGAGCCCAAGGACTATTCGTGAGCCTTCATCCCATTTGCCGTGTCTTATATACAGCTAGACATATCAACTGACAGTCCACAGGATCAAAGATGCCATTGCCTTCGCAAAACCGTATAATCCGGACGCATTCCTTGCTGTTGGTGAGATATCCGGTCCAAATAGGCGGTAGACATACCGTGGCTAACGTCTACTAGGCGGAGGATCCGTCATCGACACCTGCAAGCTGATGAACCTCTACTGCGTCTACCCAGAGGCTGACTTCCTGGACTTTGTAAATGCCCCGCTGGGCAAGGGCCTGCCTATTGCAAAACCCCTAAAGCCGCTTATCGCCATCCCAACCACTGCGGGAACTGGAGCAGAAACAACCGGGACGGCCATCTTTGACCTGACTGACAAAAAGGCCAAAACCGGAGTAGCACATCGCAATATGAAGCCAACCCTCGGCATCTGCGACCCCCTCAACACTCGAACTATGCCGCCGGCAGTGCACGCTTCTTCCGGCCTCGACGTGCTCTGTCACTCTCTCGAGTCCTGGACGGCAATCCCGTACAACGAGCGAACGCCTCGCCCGACCAACCCTATCAACCGACCAGCCTACCAGGGAGCAAACCCTATCTCTGACATCTTTTCCCTCCAATCACTCCGCAGCACGGTCAAATACCTCCCTCGAGCAGTCAAGGACCCGGAGGACCACGAAGCACAGAGTCAGATGCTACTCGCCGCAACACTTGCGGGTGTAGGCTTTGGTAACGCCGGTGTCCACCTGTGCCACGGTATGAGTTACCCTGTATCAGGCCAGAACCCCGGGTACAAGCACAAGGGGTACGAGGTAGAGCACGACATCATCCCCCATGGCGTTTCTGTTGCTGTCACTGCCCCAGCTGTCTTCCGTTTCACTGCGGCCAGCAACCCAGACCGTCACCTGGCGGCCGCTGAGATCTTTGGCGTCGACATCTCTAACGTCAAGAGAGAGAGTGCCGGAGAGGTCCTAAGTGAAGCTATTGCAGAGTTTTTAATTGGCCTGGGCGATCAGCCTAGGGGTCTCAAGGCGCTGGGATTCGACAACTCGCACCTGGATATGTTGATTGCGGGCACGATTCCGCAGCAGAGAGTACTCAACCTTGCTCCAAACCTTAGCAAGGAACTCGAACAGGAGCGGGAACAGCTGCGGAAGCTGTTTGAAGAGTCCATGGAGTACTAGGTCTTCTTCACTCTCCCGGCCCCCCTCAACTTTTTACGTAACTATATAACGCTATGATGTCCTATGATGAATCTTATCATAACTACGCCGTGAATGGTACCCAACGGGCCCTTTGAGAATTATTATTAATATTGCAGCACTCTGGCCTGCAGCCCACGTAAATTAAATTTCCGTCATGCACGCGTGCCTAGCAACCTTGAGAGTGACCAATCTACATACAACTCTTAAGTTGTATATCAATACGAATCTTCGCAACCATAAAACGCAAATATGGGGCTTCCTGCCAGTGACATTGCCTATATTAAAATGCTTGCGGAGACTATTCATACAAACCCCCTGTGGCCTGCCAGGCTTTGCATCAACCTTGGAAACGCAAAATATAGATCTATCTTGCGCAACTACTTAGAGCTAAGTGCTTTCTGCGGCGGAGCCCCTGAGCCCATCATCCCCATACACCCTGGGGACCCTCGAGGAACACCTGTTCCCCTATGACGAATGTTCCGGGAGTGTTTCTTCTTCATCCGCCGACTACGCCAGCCCGCCATTGGCCTTGCAGACGACATAGCCGACAGTTAATTGGCTCTAGTGCAGAAAAACGCCCTTCCTCAGCGGGTGGGACAAGAGCCTTGCTTGCCACGAAGGTGGCCTTTGGTGAAGTATGACGGCGTGAAGGTGGCATCCAGCTCTCCTCTGTCAGACTCTTTATCCTCCCGCAAATACTTCTATATAAAGACGTATTTTTCCTTGTCGAGAGGAGGACCCCCGGCCCTTGTTGATCATGTTCACCGTCTCCTATCCGGCTATCCAACTCCAGCACCTAAAGCGTTGAAAAGCTGAATATTACGCTATCTACCCAGTTATTCGGTCAATATTATGGCAGCTCCTGTAACCAACGGTCTTCCACCTCGTCCTAAGGTCCTCGTGCCGGAGAAGCTATCTCCAGATGGCCTTGCCCTACTAAAGTCGAGCTTAGACGTCGACGAGCGTCAGGGGTTGACAGCTGATGAGCTCCTGGGGATCATCCCGGAGTACGAAGCGCTCCTCGTGCGCTCGGCTACCAAAGTGACAGCATCAGTCCTTCAAGCCGCATCCAAGCTCAAGGTTGTTGCCAGAGCCGGCGTAGGCGTTGACAATATTGGTGAGTAACCCCATCCTGCTGATAACATAACTAGTTAGTTATTGGTTACGTTACTCTGGAGCACAGCTGGTTAGTTAGTTAGCTAACAAGTTACCCTGAAGATGCTGATGCCGCAACCAAGCAAGGCATAGTTGTTGTCAACTCGCCCTCAGGCAATAATGTTGCTGCAGCAGAGCATACCATTGCGCTGTTGATGTGTATGGCCAGGAACATACCAGATGCATGTTCGAGTCTGAAGAGCAATAAATGGGAGAGGAGTCGGCTGGTTGGTGTGGAAGTTCAGGGCAAAACTTTGGGAATCATTGGACTTGGGAAAGGTAACCAAAGCACCATCGAAGACGGGGATAATAACACAAAAACATGCTAATATGTTCTTGAACAGTCGGCTTGATCGTGGCTCGCCTGGCCAAAGGGCTGGGGATGAACGTCAACGCCGTTGACCCTTATGCCTCGTCAGCAGTCGCTGCGTCTGCTTCCGTCACTTTGATGCCGTCTCTCGCCGAGCTTCTCCCTACCGTCGACTTCTTAACTATCCATACCCCGCTAATTGCCTCTACAAAGGGCATGATTTCAAGCGCCGAATTGGCCCAGATGAAACCCGGCTCGCGCATTTTGAATGTGGCTCGAGGAGGGACCATAGACGAGCCAGCCCTTCTGAATGCCCTTGAAACCGGACACATCGCCGGAGCAGCGTTAGACGTGTTTGCAACAGAACCCCCTACGTCTGGCTCGGCTTCAGCACAACTGATTGCCCATCCTCGGGTAATTCCAACTCCTCACCTGGGAGCCTCTACGGTTGAAGCGCAGGAGAACGTCTCAATAGACGTGTGCGAGCAAGTGCTTCAGATATTGGGTGGCTCTCTACCGCGAAGTGCCGTAAATGCACCCCTTATACTACCGGAGGAATACAAAAAGCTCCAGCCGTATGTCCACCTTGTCGAGAAAATTGGAAGCATTTATACTCAGCATTATGGGTCGGCAAAAAGCCCTCTCTCGAACCGGAATACCTTTGATCTTATATACGAAGGCGAGGTCTCAGAGATGAACAATACGAAACCCCTCTTTGCTGCTCTTATCAAGGGGCTTATGTCCCCTATCAGCAAAGACCTGAACGTGAATATTGTCAATGCTGAGCTGGTTGCTCGAGAACGAGGGATAGTAGTCAACGAGCAGCGTTCAAGGGATAGCCCATCTCACTCTTACTCCTCTCTCATAACTTTGGTCGCACGGGCGGCAAAGGTGAATGGGGATAGCCTAGGATCCAGCCATCAACATGACTATATCATTTCCGGGACTTGCTCTGAATCTCAACCCTTGATATCACGCATTGACCGGTTTGCCACATCCTTCGTCCCTGAAGGAACGCTTTTGATATGCCATAACTTTGATTCTCCTGGCAAAATCGGAGTTGTTGGTAGTATATTAGGGAAAAGGGGGGTTAATCTTAACTTCATGAGTGTTGCTCCGATCTCCAAGGGAAAAAAACAGCAGAAGGAAATCGATTCCTCAGACGAGGCACTGATGATCCTGGGCGTTGATAGGACTGTGGATGAATGCGTGGTAAAGGCTCTTGTGAACGAGGGTGGAGTGTTGAGCGCCAGTGTAGTTTCTCTTTGATATTTACTCGCCAAAATAGTAGTTAGAACAAATGGTCACTTACAAAGACAGATAGCCCATATTCATTTGTGTTTATTTAGAGATTTTGGCTATAACTAATCCATGAGTCCGTACAAGCCTCGATGTATTATCCTCATCTAGTACAGTCATCCCAGAAGAATCGCTCCCCCATATCCAGGCTTGAGGGACCAGCTAAGACATTCCTTCTGTTGTGTCCTGGCTGTAGGACTAGTTAATGTTCTGGGCCCTGGTCCAGTCTCTGTTTCATGGTTTCCCTCGATTTGGTCTCTTCCCGGTGCTTCCAGGGGCCACCGGGAATAGGGCTAACATGATCAACAGCCATCTGGATCGGCGGCGGCGTTGACGGCCTAGGCGTTGATTTATCGTCACGCTTTCCACGCGGCTTTCCGACTTTCACTGCAGTTGGATTTCCTTGTTCCCGGACAGGTTTGGCCTCGATATAGTCCCTGGTCCTGTTGATTGTCTGTTCGGATCTCGGCCCATTGGGATTCGGTATTTCTGTGCGCCGCCCCTTGGGAGGATGGCTTTTCGATGGCACTCTGTTCACCGTCTTGAGGTAGCCCACTCTCACGTTCGCTTTGGTGTCAGTAAGCTCAGGCGGTAGTGAATCGGTGTTTGATCTGCTAGTGAGAGTGTGGCCGACATTGGGGACGGAAATAATGACGTCTCCCCTGATGTCGTAGGGGATAGGGCTCGCCTGGACGACACTCTCAAAGGCGAGGAGAGCAAACAAGGCAACCCTGCCAATAGAGGTGATAACTGTCATATTGGAAGTAAGTATATATTTGTTGCACAAGTGACTCGAGCGATTGAATAGAGGAAGGAAGTCTTTGAACAGAAGTTGGCTTTCACTCTCCTCAGGAGTAATATATATAGACTTCTTTCGAAATGCACGCTCAATGCAGGTCCCTTATCGAGCTTATACGCTCAATGGATAGGTCGTATAATAAAGAAGAGGCCTCAATATGCGTGAATATCTCTAGATTATTGTACCGTGTTACATATGGATGAACATATGATTAAGTCTTTGTTTTCAACCATTGCACGGCAGCAATCAAAGAAGCCAATCCTATCAGAGTTGGAGATGCTCAGCGATAAACAATGGAACCACATCTCCAAGATAGCTATGTAGTTTCATGTATCTGCAGGTCGGTTCCAGGGGTTTCTCAAAGCCGCTCGGGTATACAACGATCGAATAACTGTATGGCAAGGAATTTGGTGCGCCTCAACGCCACCAGGCTCTATGATGGTTATTCATCACTCACACGGTGCGCAGCTATCCTTTTACGGCTATAATTTATTATTGTTGGCCGTGCCGTTTGTGAAGGATTTCGCGTTTGAGATGTTTTATTCCATTTTATGGCGCATCTCCACTTAACAGAAGGGTTGCATATAAGTGAGGAAAATAAACGAAATAGAATTTATCTCGTGGGCTCACCTGGGCCGGCATTTCCGTATATACATGTTGTAACTGGTGAGGGGCTGTTTCACCATGTCGACCCAGCTTGATGGAAGAAGTGATCACATTGTTAAGTAGAGACAGATAAGAAAACGAAGGGGGCAAAAAAGAAAAAAAGAGAGAGAACATATCAGAGCATAGACGTCATTGGAAGGGGAATAACCAAGGGTTCTTTAGACGGACCCTTCGCGACCGAAGACACAATTAAATTCTTCGCCTGGGGAGAGAGTCACGTCGGTTTTGAGAACAGGATCGGTTCCTGGTGGAGGGCATCCGATACCGGTCACCTCAGTAAAGTGCTGCAAAATACGGGTTATAGTGTATCCCATTTCAATGGTCGCAAATTGCTGGCCCAAGCATATCCTTGGCCCTCCGTTGAAGGGGATAAAATGCCATGGCTTGGGTTGCCAGCCAGAAGTCCATCGTTCTGCGTGGAACTCAAGGGGATCATACCAAGGCTTAGCCTTTCCATCTGATGGTGATAAGGGCGACGGTGGTGGGTCATAGAGGTCACGACGTCGTTGCATGGCCATGGTTGAGTACAGAATTCGGGTATCAGCAGGGACACCAACAGGGGATTTGCCATCAGGACCGCCGCCACGGGGAAGAGTGGTATCGACAACAGCATGGCGTACATTAAACGGTACGACAGGGTATAAACGCATAGTCTCGTTGATAATAGCATTGACATACTTCATGGCTTTCAGATCGGTATAGGTTGGCTTGTTGGTACCACAGGTTGCGAAAATCTCTGCTCGCGCTTTCTTAACAGTTTCAGGATGACGAGAGAGCTCAAACATAGCAAAGGCGAGCGTGGCTGCAGTAGTGTCACGACCGGCAAGAAGAATAGCAACAAGCTGGTCACGGAGCACAACTGGGTCGCGAGTAAACCTTGCAAGTGCGTGGAGGAAGGTATCTTGCTTTGACAGCTTGCTGTCTAGTTCTTCAGGAGTCAGGGCTAGGACCTGATCAATGAACTGTTGAATAAAGTCGTTCATCTTTCGGATGTTAGCTTTGAATTCCTGTTCTGAAAGGAATTTCCGAAGAGGCCTATGATGATATTGATATCCATAATTTCATCCAGAAGTACTAGTAGCGGATTATGCATACCCAGCTCTGAAGAGGATTGACTGCCTATGTAGAACGAATTGGAAAGATTCGGCAAATTCGGTCTTAGGGTCATCAAGGCTGTCGACACTCTTTCCAAGAAGGTAATCGGTTGCAGCATCCAAAGTAAACCTAAAAAACAATGTTCCAATATCGACAATTCTTCCACCGCTATCATTCTTAGCAAGTCGAGGAATCAGCTTTTCAATGTGCTTTTCGAAGATCTCGGTATCGACAAATCTCTCCTTTGCAAAAATTGGCCGGATCAAGTGCCTGGATCGTGACCAGAGCTCTCCGTCAGTCGCAAAAATGCTGTCTCCCAGGAAATCTTTCCATTCTCTGTGGAAGCGCCATCCCTTTCCATAATCACTGAACTGACTGGTCAGAACAGCCTTGATGTTCTCTGGATCAGCAGTGAAGATATTGCGCGCATAAGGACGAACTTTAAGCTCAGCTGTCGAAATATTACCGCCGCACTGTGAAGGCGTAGTTTCAAAAATGGACGTGAAAAATTCGAGGTCCTTGTGGTTTTTCGCAGCCTTGAATCCCCTGAAAATAAAGTCGGCGCCTAATTCGGAATTAGCAGATTAGAATATGGCATTTGCCTTAAGACAAAGACGTACTCAGTGGCATGTAAGTTTTAATCCGGGGAGCAAATGCTCCCAGCCTGGAGACTTTATAATCTGTATACAAGTCATATCCAACATAGAAAACGATCAGAGCAGCAAACAACCACACCATTCCACTGCCGATAGAGATATTTTGCACGATTCCTTCAATCATGTTGAATATGTTCTTCAGAGTCGTTCCTCTTAGTCCATCATCCAAGGATTGGTAAGTTAGTTAATCAGCTGAGGCTTATGGATGAAATGACACTGGAATGAGAGAACAATATCCGGTAACTACTACAATCCAACTTCAAGGAGTAGTTAGTTATTGTCAAAATGATGTCTTCTTCATTAAAGGAGAATATATAAGAGCGGGGGTGGACATCATTAAAGCCAACCCCAGCCCACAAGACGAGACGGCATCCTGCATCGCGCCTAGAACGGCCAAATAACCCTCCGGGGTGCCGCTGAACCGAGGGACAATCCATCTCACCATGGAGAGTGGAAACAGCCGACTCCGTACTTACAGGGGCAACACATCGGGTTCGGCTCTGCACGTTACGTTGATGTAAAGTACGAATACGACATAACCCAGTTAACGAGCCATTCTGTGAAATCGAAGTCAAAAGGTTTCCAAACATGGAAGCGTTAACTAGTTAGTTAACGATCCTGGGGAATTGATCAACCTATTAATGGACCGTATTTTGGATGCTGCTCGATCGAGTTCCAGAATGCTGGCTTAGCCAGAATTTTCGACAAAGAAACTGAGAGAATAAAAACTGCAAGTGTAAAACAGCCCAGCACAGAGCAGTGAGAGGTTTATTCGAGTTCTCCGCAGGACTGGCCCTTATTCTGAGCTCACACTGAAGTGTAAGAGGAGTAAGTAGTACGCATGTAAGAAGCACTACCTGTGCTGTTGTTGCTCATGCATGTGAAAAGCCGAGCGTTGCTTTAACTAGTTAGTTAACTAATTAGTTATGGAGCCCCCGTACTCGTATTTTGTTTTGTGTGGAGGGCTATGCTTCATGTTTCTTCGTTGCTGTTCCCCTCGGAGACGGGGTAACGGTAAGTACGAATAGTGCGGCAAAAAGATAGGCAGTCTGAGATTGTAGCAAAAAGAAGGAGATTCACTGGCATAAATGGATCCCGAAATTGCTACGGAGTTTTAACATTCCGCTTAATACGTAGTTGGAAGTGATTTGGCCGTATCCTATGGTGCATTTCAATTTCCATCGCTCTTCTTGGTGTTAGGACGGACTGCCATTTTTTATTCTTGTAGATTGATTTCAAGTATTTAGAGCTCGCATCCGCTTTCCCGCATGAGACAATACGTCATTTGGACCATAGCAGCACGGATTCCGGCATCACTCACTACGCGCTCTCTCCACTTTACCAATCGATATGAGGCGTCCTGGATATTATCTGGCGATCTCGGCCCTGTCCAAAGAACTTCGGCGGCGGCGGCGGCCCGGGGCCAGATCATTTGGTCCATGTTGACTGGATCAACCAGCTCTGACCACATATGCGTTTCACCTCCAACCAGAAGGGACTGTAACTCGACAGGTATATCCTTTAGAGGGTTGTATACATACATGTGTTTCCAGTTTTTCGTCGGTGCACACCAGTCTAGATACGGATTCTGGACTGCCTTGGAACCTGGGCGAGGGTTTAGGAAAGTTCCTACCCCGCAGTCAAGATACCAAGCATCTCCAGTGCCAAATATCGTCTGATACCCTTTTTGGAGGACATGTTTCACTGCTGATGAGTTACGCCATGCCTGCACGATGACCCCTCCAGTTTCACCCGCTGTTTTGTGAGAAGGCAGGTTGAGATCCCAATCAAGGACCAACTCTTCCCATACAATCGGAGTAACTCCAGAACTTCGAAGTGAGCTGTGAACATGTGTGATCATTCTGTCGAGAAAGGGAGTGAGGACTCGTCGGTCATTTGAGCCTAGGTTAATTTCTAAAAGGTAGGTATTGAGGTTGAATTCATCTCCTCCAGTGTGAAAGTATTCTGTTAACGGGGAGACACGTGGGATTAAATCTGCCATCAGCAGATCAAGGAACTGGTATACGGCAGAAGAATTCAGTTTAATTTGACCACTTGGAGGTTCCGCGGCATATTTCTCCCACTGGTCCATATGGTAGGCTGCAACTAAATCGGGGAATGCATGGCCAACGGCAGCAGTATGGCCGGGCAAATCAATCTCAAGGAATACCGAGACCCCGCGTTCTAGTCCATATAGTTGCACCGCCTCCAATTCAGAAGACGACCATACCTGACTCGGATGGTACGAGGCTTTGGCTGCTAGTTCTGGGATTGAAGGAATGTCCAACGGCCAGGATTGTGAGTCGGCAGCGTGGAAATGCAGCCGGTTCAGTTTTACAGATGCCATTGCATCAATAGTGCGCTTGACGTCTTCGGGTCGAATCACGTTTCTAGATATGTCAAGGTTCAGCCCACGATGTCGCCATTTGGGAGAATCCGATATGGAAATTGGAGCAAAGGGTGTGTATGACTTTGAATGGGAGTGGGAGTAAAACAGCTGCTGGAATGTTTGAAGAGCACGAATAGTGCCAATCGGTGATC